TAGAGGGGAGTTTGTCCTGAAGGAACTTGTTTGCTTGCCTTGATGGCTTCCCGGAAAACAGCTTACTTATTCTTGTCGTAGCCAGTCATGCTGCCATTTTTGTTTTGGGTTTTTCCTGATGATCTTTCTTTGACAATGTATCTTCTGTCACTCTAGCTGTTCCAGGCTGGTCTGATTGTCCTTTCTAGTGCGAATGTCCCACCTCAGAAGGTTCTAGATGGGACTCACAGTCCCACCTAAGGTCCTATACTCTGCAAAGGCTCCGTAAGAGGCCTATTTCACTGGGCAAGTTCTAGAACCCCTTTTAGGTATTCCAATCAGTTATAGACTGAAGATGGACTTACAAGTTTTCTGCAATCATGTTGCCTGACATTCCTTTCGATCCCACTCAAGTGTCTATTTTATAATAGTAGGCAAGAGATACCAACATTCATAGACAGTCAAGCATCTTAGTATTATTTCCCCTCTTCAAACTATGCCTAGATTCCTGTATCACAGAGGGAACCTATTGTTCCAAGGTTGAGCGTGCATCACTATTTACCTCTGTCCCACTTAGGCCATGCACTCCTGCTGTCTCAGTGTTCCCTTATCTACCTTGTTTTTCACCTCCCCCTTCTTGTATTGCCCTCGCCAACACCTGAACTCTGATGTGTCTGCCCTTACCCTGTGCTCTACTGTTGCCTCCATCCACCTTCCCCTAAACCCCCCACCCCAACCCCACCATGGTTATCTTATATTCCATTAGCTCTTCCCTCCATTTAAGACAATCTATTTTATCCTGTAATCTACCTGACCTTCTCACCACCACCTGGATCTCTGTTCCTGTTTATCTTCTTTCACATTGTAATTGTTTTGGTCATAGACTGACCTCCCAGATCCTCTGAATTTATTTTTATACTTTTATTCTGTTCTCGACTCTTCCATTTGTCAATTGAGTTCCAGGTGATGTTGCCACGTGTGTCAATCTCTGGTTATTGTCTGTTCTTGTTGGTTCTCAGTCCACAGAACTCCCTTTTAGGATGTATTCATCGCTGGGTTGGCTTTGGCAAAATCCCTTAGCTTCTGTTTATCCTGGAATGTTTTGATTATACCTTCGTATTTGATTGACAGCTTTGCTGGGTAGAGGAATCTTAGTTGGCAGTTTTTTTTCTTTCAGGGTTTTATATATGGCTTCCTATTGCCTTCTTTTCTGCATGGTTTCTGTTGAAGAGATCAGAGCTTAATCTGATTTGCTTGCCTTTATATGTTACAATTTTCTTTTCCCTAGTTGCTTTCAGGATTCTATCCTTATTTTTGATTTTGGAGAGCTTGGTCATTTTTTTTGGGGGGGGGTCTGTCCTTCCTGGGATTCACTGAGCTTATTGAATGCTTATCTTTTCACTTTTCAGGATTAGGGAAATTTTCTTCCTGCAGCTCTTCAACTACCTCCTCTGTGGATTTGTGTGATTCTTCTTGTTCTGGAATGCTGATAATTCTTAAGTTATTCTTCCTCTCATGTTGTCCAACATGAATCTTAGACCTTCTTCAGAATTTTTTATCCTTTTCTCTGCTTGTTCTTCTATCTTAATAGTATTGAGAGATTTATCTTCTAGCTCACTAGTTCTGATGTCCATCTCTTCAATTCTACTCATTTGCCCTTTCAGTATATTGTCCATTTCTGATATTGTATTATTAATCATTTGGACTTCTTTCTGTAGGTTTTGAATTGTTTCCAATGCTGTATCTATCTTATTTGATTGTTCCTGTAGTACTTTCCTGACTTCTTCCTTATTTTTCTCAACTCCATTGTAAAGTGTTTTGATACATTTTATAATCATTTTTAGGAATTCCTTCTCAGGCATTTCCAAAGCCTACTCATCTTCCAGTATGGAGTGTAGGTCTTCCTTCAGCTCATTTGTCTCAGTCACTTTATTTCATTTCTGGACATGTGCTGATATGGTCATCTGTTTTCGTGTTTGGGGGCATATTGAGTAGTTAGCTATGTGTGTTTTGGTATTTTTTATGCTTTCTGATTGCCTCCAGGTAGATGTGATCAGAAGATGGGCTTCCCTTTTCAATCTTCTTCCTGAGACATTTCAAGATGCCACTGTTGGTTGTTATGACGTTACTCAGGATTTAATTTTCGGCCTGTTTCTGCCTGTTCCACTCCATAACCCCTGTTCAGGCCTTTTTCTAGTGACAAACAGTTCAGGGCTGTCTTTGGCCATTTTGTGCTGCCGTTCGGTTTTAAGTGGAAACTGTCCCTTTAAATTTTGAGGAGCTCTGTGTGCACGTGTAATAGAACCCTTTGGGGGTGGGTGGGGGTGGGATGTCCACTCGCTCAGGCACCCCCTCTAATCACCAGAATGGAGGTGCGCAGACAGCCAGAGATCAATGAACAGAGACGAAAAAAAAAAAGAATGTTCACACCTTTATCTCTGTGGTTCTGTCAGGCATCTGTGGCTGCTCTGATCCTTCCCCCATTTGGTCTTGCTCAAGATGGTCGCTCCTGGAGCAGCTGAGTGCCTTGGATTAGAAAGCACTGGATTTCTTGCTTCTGCTACAAATTCTATTGGCTGTAAGCCTTCCAATTTTCTAAATATTCCTTTATATGTGGTTCAGCATTCTGGGACCATGCCTTGAGCCTGCTTGGTCTGGTATTCTGTGTTGTTGCTGATGGAGTGCCTCACTGCACTTCTACTCGATCTGCCATCTTGTATGTTTCCTGACCCCTAATTTTTTAACTCTCCCTGCTGATGAACACTTGAGCTCGTCTCAAGTTTCCTCCCATGATAATTTTTTCATATATAGTTACACTAAATAAATAGTAGAACTAAGTAAACACAAAACATTTAATTTCCTAAGCCTATTTTTAAAAACAGTTTTACTGGATTTTTTACACCTAAAATGCTGCTGTTTGCCAACCCTGAATTTTTCTTTCACAACAATTATTTTGACATTACAAAATTTACTTTTCCAGTTTATGGAGTTTAAGAAGATTCTAAATAAAACCCTAGAAAACTTTCTAAAACAAAACCAGGGCTACCTAAAAGTAAAAAAATTCAGTAAATTTAACCAAATGCTTTCATATGCCAAACTATCAAAATACGTGATTTTTACATTTTATTAGAATTGATAAGATAAAGTGGTGTCACTGACAGGACAAAGAAGACAGGGCAGGAACCACAGACGAAATTAGGAAGGCAGCAAAGATCTAAAGAGAACCAGCAAGCCTACAGGATCCAATAATCATAAAATCACCAAATATATATGCCAATAATAAAGAAGGTTTTAAAATGACTTTTCAGAATAATATGAAAGGCAAAGATCCACCTCTAAAGATCAGTAAAATTATAAAAGGAGGATGACAAAACTGTTTTTATGTTACATAGGAAAATCACATGTGATTAGCATGAAAAGAAATATTTTCTGGATTAACTGTATGTTATCTACTGAATCCTGAATATATTGTTTTCTTTCTCACGAAGATCTTAAATTTCTCTTTTAGGAATCCATGAGGACTTTCTACATTCTCTTAAAAGAGTAGGATATCTTACCGTCGTTTTGTTATATAGAGTTCATCAAGAAGATGTCGTTTTTCATAGCTCATCCACTGTTCATCAGGCAACTCTTCTTCCTTCTGCAGTAACTGTTCATAGAGTCGAACAGGATTCCAGCCAGTCATTATGTCATAAGTGATTACACAACCCAAGGAATGCGACACTATTGAGACTTTACCCCCTTGTTCTTCAAAGTCTGGATTCCGAGAACAGAAAAGGGAATATAATCGATTCAGCTCTTGTTGAAGGCCTTTAACTAGCTGTTTAAAATAAGAAGACATTATCATATTAGTTATCATTTACTGCTACAAACTCAGATACACTAAGAAAAACATATATTACTGGCCAAATATACGTAGATTACTAACATGAACTCAGATGCCTCTACAATTTAGAGGAATTATAATGTAAAGCAGCTCTGGTTGTGCAGTGGCTAAAGGCTGGAAGTTCAAACCCACCAGCCACTCAACAGGACAAAGATGTGGCAGTCTGCTTCTAAAAGATTACAACCTTGGGATCCCTATGGGGCAGTTCTGCTCTGTCTTATAGGGTACTGTGAATCAGAATGGACTTGACGGCTACAGGTTTATACCTAGTATTAAAATCTGAATAATCACTAAAAGAATATAGGCAAATATAACCCATACAGGTGTTTGCATAACCCTTAAGCCAACTACACCTACCCCTCACTGTCAACTATCTGACATTTTGTATTTACAACAGTAAAATATCCATTATCTATTTTGTGCATTAATAATGTATATCTGGCAATAACAGTAACTGAGGTGTAAAGTAAGTGTTAATGTTGGCTGTGATGGCTGAGGTTATGTGATTGGACCATGATTCTCAGAGATTTGGCAGGTAAGAGCCCAGTGCTTACCCTACAGTGCCACACCAGGGCAGTTTTACTAACAAACACGTATCCCTATCTATAGAAATATGTCTATATAATGCATTGTAGTTAAGTGCCATCAAGTCAGTCCCTACCCATAGTGAGCCTGAATAGGGTTTCCAAGGAGCAGCTGGTGAGCTTGAACCACTGACCTTGCAGTTCAAATGGACTTTGCAGTCCAGAGCACTAACCCCAAACACCATACCAGGACTCCTATAGTGCATTAGGATAGAGTAATAGAACAATGCCTGAAGAAAAACCTAAAGTTGACCTACTCAATATCCCAAGATCTCAGTAAGTTGGCATATAGATAAGAGAAAAAAGTTTATTATGGTTGGAAAACAGGGATTTGGTCCCCCTCTCCTGCCCTAAAGATTAGGGGTTTTAGTAATATGGGAAGTATCTTAGTCATGCTTCTTTATAAAATAGGTTTCTTTTAAATTGTTACTCAAACACATATTGAGTCCTAGCCTAAGTTTTAAGGCAGTTCTTTCTTTTTCTATCCTTGTTTATTTTTCAGTAAAATTGAGTTATAAATGTCCTGCCTGACATGTAGTTTCTCCAAAACTTGTCATGCATGAAAATCACCTGGAGGACTTGTTAATTACAGATTACCAGTTCCCATATTGTTCTTGGTGGTAAAAAACGATCAACATGCTCAGGTTCAAGTCCACAGGAGGCATATCAGCAAACGGCCTTGTTTAGGGGACACTATGGTCCACAAAGACAATGTTCTACATTCTACTTTAGTAGATAGCATCTAGGATCTTAAAAGCTCAAGAGGGGTCATCTAAGGTGCAACTATTGGTCTCCATGTGTGAAAGAAAGAAGAGTGATGAGAACTGAAGATGTTTGTAATCAATTAGACCAAGGGATTACTAGAAAATGGAGCATCAGTTTCCACAACTCTTAGACCAACCCAGTTACCATTACTAACTGCTCTGAAAGGGATCACATTAGAAGATTCTGGACAGAGTGGGAAAAATTATATATATATATAAAGACTGGTTTTACAGGCCAAAAAGAGACTGGAAGACCCTGAGACTATGGTCATCGACCTCCCTTCAGGTCTGGAAAGGAACTCACCCTCATGGCCCAATTTTCAGCCAAGCAGTAGATAGGTATATAGGGTGACAACAATACTAGTAAGGTCTGCTCACCATGCATCATCAATCATTCAAAATCAAAACAGCAACATTTACCTATGGACAAAGTTGAGAAGGAATGGGGAGGTGGGTGGAACGAAAGCAGGAACCACAGAGAAGAAGTGGGATAACTGCTGTTGCACAGAAAGGATTGCAACCATTTAGATGGAACAAAGTGTATGATTTGTTGAATGTAAAAGTGATGAATTTATCTGTAAACTTTTCATTCACTTCATAATGAAAAGATAAAATAAAAATATGTATTTAAAGGCTATATTTTATGATCTTCTTCTGAAAAATCATCATTGAAAACCCTTGAGAGCATAGTTCTACTCTGACACACAAGGGTTGCCACGAGTTTCAACAGATTTGATGTCAATTGGTAAAAAAGGTCCTATCCTACAGTTTCTGATTTGGCTGGTCTGGTCTGGGGTAGGGTCTGAGAACTTCTAATATTGTCTCAGAAGATGCTGATGTTATTACTCTAGGAGCCACACTTTAGCAAATGCTTTAGCAACTGCTAAAGCATGGCTTGTAGGTAAATTTTTAGTCAATGTTGTTTAAGGAGTATGCAGGATAGTATGAGAACTACATAACTCTATCCAACAGAGAGCTATAATATAATGCTTGGACTTTGATATGATAGGGCTTTGATATGATTAAGACTATCAACTAATTCTTAACATTTTGCAACTTTCCTGATACATAATCTACGTTAAGGGAGGAAGAGAGAAAAACTAGTGCTTATGTAAAGTAAATTCCTTTAAAAAACATCTTTTAACAGTTTTTAGTTTTGAAGGTCTTTATTTTAAGATTCATACCATGTAAAAAACTGCCATTATTTTTTAATTCCATTTTTTCATGAATTTTTTACAGCTCCCTTGTATACTTAACTCCTCTGGCAAAAGATACACAATCCTTATTTTTTTTTTTTAAAGAACGAACTTCCCAAAACTAAAATTTAAAAACTAAAAAAAAAGATAGAATTACTGGTAGACCAGTATTAAATTAACCAGTAATTTAGCCAGTATTAAAATACTTTAAAAGATCTCTCACTATGTTGACTCCTTCATTAGTCGAGTAAGCATACAATGAAAACAAAATAAGGATAAAACATTATGACAGAGAAAGCCTATTTGATGCTAAAATATTTCACCATGATATGGAATATTGAGTGGACAGTTTCTGAAGAGTTGATGACTTCATCTGTCTTGATAATTATTTATTTTAATAGAACTGGTCTTTTTATTTCTCCATTAAATCTAGATCTGGTTGCATTTTTTATCTTTGCTAGTAGCTTATACTTACAGGAACATTTATAGTCAAGATATTATGATATTAAAACTTCTAAAATGGCTTGACATACCTCACAATGTTTCTACAAATCACCCATTCAGCATCAAAAATAGAAATTCACCTCTACATTATACTAAAAAGTCTACTGTACTTGAGGGTTTTTTTCCCCTTGTATTTTCTGATCCAATTATAGTCTCCTAGTTAGGTTCCATTTGAGACCAAGTTTATTCATTTGGGACATATTAAGTCAAGATTAATGATATACCATGTGACCTTAGTATTACTAGCTCTACAAAATTATCTAATCAAGTCAACTAACCCTTTCATAATAGCATCTGATGGTTTTCCAAAGCCATCTAATTCTCATAACTACTGCTCAAATGCTAAAATTTATGAAGAAAATCAACACAGTATTTTCAAGATTGAAACCAAACACTCAAAATATAGTTGAGAAGTATAATTAATCCTTTGTCCTTCTCCCTGCTTCTAGAAATTTTAATAGGAAAAAGCAATTTAGAGAGTTTTAGTCACATACACAAATTAAATAATTTCAAAACAACAATGACAAGATGAGACCATGACAATTCTATTTATAACTCCTTCATTTAAAAAAGTCATTGAAAAGAGAGTTCAGATATACACAAAATGTAAACTTCTCTTGGTTCTTTATTTAGGGTGAAGGCCCTGGTGTGGCGCTGTGGGTTAATGCGTCAGACTGCAAAGCTGTTTGCACTGCAAGGTCGGCAGTTCAAACTTACCAGCTGCTCCTTGGAAACCCTACACAGGGTCACTATGGGTTGGAATAGACTTGATGGCACTTAACACCAATAAGGGCCAAACCACCACTTATTTGCCAGTTTGTTATACTGCTATGGCTTGCATGCTACTGTGATGCTTGAAGCTATGCCACTGGTATTTCAAATACCAACAGGGTCATCCAGAGATGGACAGGTTTCAGAGGAGCAGCCACACTAAGACAGACTGGAAAGAAGGACCTGGATCTACTGAAAACACAGACAAGTGAAAACTCTATAAGAAGCAGTGGAACATGGTCTACTATACAGTGCTGGAAGATGAGCCCCTTTGGTTGGAAGGCGCTCAAAATACATCTGGGGAAGAACTACCTATGTAAGTAGAGTTGACCTTAATGACATGAATGGAGTAAAGCTTTCAAAACCTTTATTTGCTGATGTGGTATGACTCAAAAATGAGAAGAAAGAGATGTAAACATCTATTAATAATTTGAAGGCAGAATGTAGCAAGTATGAACCAAAGACATTTGGGAGTTGTAAAAAGTGAACTGGAACGCTTGAAGACTGATATCCTAGGCATTAGTGAGCTGAAATGGACTGATATTAGCCATTCTGAATCAGACAATCATGTGGACATACTCTGCCAGGAATGACAAAGAGGAACGGCAATCACATTCATGACTAAAAAAAAAAAAAGTCAAGATTTATTCTGAAATACATTTCAGTCAATGTAGGATAGTAAGTGTACACCTATAATGAAGACCATTTAATATGACTATTCAAATCTATGAACCAAAGATGATGAAATTAAAGACTTTTTACCCGTTTCTGCTGTCTGAAATTAATCAAATGTGCAAATAAGATGCATTGATAATTACTGGTAATTGGAATGTGAAAGGTGGAAAAAAAGAGAAGAATCCATAGCTGAAAAATACGGCCTTGGTGACAGAAAGAATGCTGGAGATCACTTGACAGAATTTTGTAAGATCAACGACTTACTGCAGATACCTGTTTTCAAGAACATAAACAGCAACTATACATGTGGACCTTGCTGGATGGAACACACAAAAATTAAACTGTCTACACCTGTGAAAGAGACAACGGAGGAACTCAGTATTATCATAAGAAGGCTGGCAGCAAACTGCAGAATAGACCATTGATTGCTTATAGGGAAG